GCTGTCAAACCTACACTAGCAAGGAGATCGGGCTGAAACTATAGCTACAAGCTATCCAAGGATGGTACTATAGAATGTCACCTCAAGGTAGGCCTAGTGGCGTCATCTCTTGGTTAGGCCGGAAACTTATCAATCCACCCTCGTATATATACTTGAACGTATTCAGTACCTACGTATAATAGATATAACTGTTATCTTGGAAGACCTTATGGAAAAACGCAAGTTTAAGGAACCATATCTCAAAAATATGACTTTTTACGACTTAGCGCCCATTAAGACTTTTGATCTACATGTCGAGAACTGCCAGAATCCAAAGTTTCAAAGAGTTAGAGAGGGTCATTTTCCATAAGGATTTAGCGAGGTCCTTTCATGTACAGTCAGGAAATACAAAATTAGAAAGAAGACCAAGACTTTGTAGATGAGATCATGATGAGGATTAAGTTTATAAAACCAAAAAGAAGACAATTGTGATATCACCTTTGCTTTTTACTAAATCATTTACTGAATTTCATTATGCTTACTGCTTAATCATAAAGATTCAACAACGAAATGAGTTGTGCCGCTAAGATAACTTGATAATCCTAAACTGAACCGAACGTTTTGCTACATTTTATCAAAAAATGGAATACAAAGGAGCGTAAACAGATTTCAATAGGATTATTAACCTAACTAGAAATGTTCTCCTGATGAACTTCAATCTGTCTATGTATATTTGGAAGCATCGATTGTATTTAAATACAATTTATGACCGGAAGGCTTATATTTACATCCACATTTATTCAAGGTTCATACTCCTCGCTGAAGCTCACTATCGTCGATAATTACAAAGCCAGATTTAATAAATAACATGTTCCTAGTTAAATTGGACCGAACAATTTCCTAATTAATGAAGTATACCTTCAAATTGAAAATTTTAAGAAAAGTTATACATGAAAGGATAACAGTAAATTTCATACCTGTACGTTGTAGCACGTGATGCAACGTAGTTATACTAAAAAATTTCGAAGCCTTGCATGATCGCCTTTTAAAGACTTAGAGCGCTTACTGTGCTTTATCATAAGCAGATTAACTGATGCCATATTATAACTATTCGATAAGCCGCACTAATGAAAATGCTAGCGATAAGGATATGGTTTCACAGCGCACGATATATTAATTAGCAACAATTTTTCCCTCATTAATTTGAGGTAGTTTGTAGTGGGTAAATAAAAATCGAAAAAAATAAAAAATGATTTCAAATTAATATCCTGTATCTGTATTAATGTATTATCAGCCTATTAAATTTTTAATGTTGTGATTGACTAAATGGATGTTGACCATGTCCATAAAATTAATTATTGTGACCGCTGTGTCATTTATTTAATTATGAGAAAGGTATAGACCGTAATATGCGCACTAGCTATTATTAACTCACAACTGTTGCCTCGTGTACAACATAGTTTCGCTAGTACAATAGTTTCAAGATGCAACGAGATATTTACAAAAGAATTGAAAGCTTGTCAGCTTTTGGAAGATACATGGGTTTAGTATCCTTTCAAATAAAGAACAGTAGGGTTTTTTTGTCGAAACGTGATTGGTTAATGCCTCTGTTAATTTTTGTAATTCATCTGGTCATTTTCGTCCCGTCCGCAATATTGCATCTGAAGTTTCAGTTGAAATCGGAAACACGTTTTATATTCAGTGACTTTCTATATGTTGGAGCTTATGAATTGTCATGGCTTTTACTTACTTTTCAAGGCATCACTAATAGAAGAAGAATGAAAGATATTCTACAAAAGATTGTGGATACGGATCAAGCAATGGAAATAAGAATTGGTGTTCGAAGTAAAACATCATTCATTGTTTTGTCAATATTTTTTGTAAATCTGTTAATTTGGACAATCATGGATATCTCTAAAACGTCTGACAAATATTGGTTACCATTTCTATTAAAAATTTCTGAAATCGCTAACGGAATATCCGTAATTCTGAATTTTGAGATTAATGCCCATGTCAAAATTCAACTAGAAACACTCAATTTGAAGTTGGAAAATTGCACTCACCAGTGTTTAAAGAAGCACAGAAATCTCCAATTAAATGAGCGAAATAGAGAATCGTTATATAAAATAGAAGAAATTTACGTTAATTATGTTAAGAAGAAATTACATTTACATTGGCTTATCATTCAAAATTCCAGAGGGTTGGTAGCATTACTACAAATTGGAATAATTGGTAATTTAATCAATGTGACGTGTTCAGCGACAATTATGTTTGATTATTTGGTGCAAATGCATACATCTGGAGAAACTATTTTTTCTATTGCCTGCTTCATCAGAAACATTGCAGCTATTGTTGAAATAATTAAAGATATAATTATAACAATTACAATTATTTACTCATGGGTAATGGTGAGTAGTGAGGTAAGAACGTAGAACTCACTTTAGGTAAACTTGTATGTGATTACAGAAGGAAAGAATTAAAAATTTAAAATTAAATCCTTTTTATGTTAAAAATTTACGTCCGTGTATGTGTGTAGTTATATTTAGCTATTAACTAATTTTAGGCATCAAAAATGGGACCCTTAATACATGACATCTGGAATAAAATAACGGAAATTGGACCATCGAACAAATCAATGGAGTTTTTCAAGTTGGCGTCAATTCATATAATTCACACTAAGCCAAATTTTAAGCTCTTTGGTTTCTCACCGATTACGTGGAATATTTTTCCATCGGTAATTAGATTATTTATCCTCATATTATTACATGGATTAAATTAATATTTTCCTTTTAGTTTGTGAACTTGGTCATTACATATGGTTGCATTCTATTACAACTTCAATTAGATGTTGCTTAGGCACATTTTTAATAGGTTTTGCACTAACTCACTAATAACTTCTAAATATCTTAAGAAACACGAGCTGTTAATAGGGACGGATCGTGAATTAGTGGGACCCTGGACTAATATTACTTAGGGATTTACCTAATTACTCAACCAATTATTATTTTGTCAAAAAACTGTTGTCTGTAACGATTTACGTATACGGTATAGAAAACAATAGGACAATAAAATATTTTAACACAGTTCTAACCATAACAAAGTCAATTTGACACCCTGATGACAAGAAGTACGGAAGAAAAATAAAATTGCGTCGGGCGATAAGCGGCGGGGAGTCCCCCGTAATGGATGCATACGCGAGAAAATTAACCGATTGAAAACAAGCAACGGGGAATTCTGGTACAAGAGTTGATTGATCGAATTTTTTTTAATTATAGATATATTTTTTCTTCACAATATCGTCTATTGTTTCGAATGCAGGTTTGTATCCACGGGGCCCTGGGCTGTATCCCAAAAAAACCCTAAATAGATCCGCCCCTCGTTGTAAAGAAATAATATACTATAATATTGTCTTATGTCCGTCTCTCAGATAGCTGAGAGCGAAATAGGCGATAATTAAACTTTATGGCTAAAAATTGTACAAAAGAATGCGTAATATTCGTAAAATGTCATAAAGGCTATGCTATTTACCATTTAGAGTAGGTACTACGGTTTTATCAAATTTCATCCGACTTTATTAAACGGTTTAAAAGATATTTACTAATTACACTCTCCAACAATTTAGCTTTCGGGTTCTCAACTCAATTCGGCGGAAGGGTAAAGACATACGTTACCAATTCACGTCCAGGACCGGCTTCGGATTGTAACTGGTGGTTTTCGTACAAATTTTTTGTCTCTTGATTACGCTGCTGTACCTACTCACCATGTAAGTTTCTTATGCGTCTACTTGATACTCTCCAAAGCTTGACACTGATTTCATAAACACCATGTATACATTCATAATGGAATAATATTCATATAATGTTAATATCAATAGCTCTGTTTGTAATCCAATATATATTTCCCTGTTGAATAGTCTTTTTGCATTTACCTGACCATTAAAATGTCTAGTTAGAAGAATAAAACCAGTTACTCGGCTGCTTTCGACATCCAGGATATTAAAATAGTCAATATTTTTAAATGCCAAGCGTGTCTAAATATCAGTATTCGATGGTAGGGTAAACTATAGATATATATTAATGGACGTGCCTTAGTCGTATGTCGTTGTAATAATTTCTTGGCTTGAAAAGTGAGGGAGATGGCGTATGGTTTCGGACTAGTGGTATCTCTTTCGTGACACGCTTACGCACTATCGTGAGAGAGATGGATATTGTCCGAAACTTCGTTCTATCTCTTTTTTTTGTTGTACCACAATTCTGACCGCTAAGGCATGTCCATTAGTGAATATCGATGGGGTAAACAGCCGTAGTGGTAGTGTCTAAATAGTCACACTATCGACAACGATATCCACCCGTTTAAATTTGGACGAGTTTAACTAGTAGTATATAATCAAATAATACTACAAAGTGGTGATCCTTCCTCTTCCCACGGAATGGATCATCCAATGCAAAATTTTATGGATATTCCAACAGCTGTTCTTAATGAAAAGTAGTCATATAGTCAATCACAATTCTAGATCTATCATTGTATGTGTGTATTATATGTATATGTATTAATAAAATCCTTGCTTAAAAAATTGCCTCTTTCATTTTTACGAATTTCGGTAGGTGGTCTGTCGTAGCGACCTACACTTTTCTGCAAAACCAGAGCGTCAGGCTCAGTGTAGGTTATGGAGAGACAGATGAGATGGACTTAATTAAGATAGGAAAGAAATGAACTATGTTACTTGTGGGTTGTTCCTGCTCCTTGTTTACCTAGATGATTCAGCTAAATCACAAAAAAGCTTGGACCATTTTATGAACTACACGGGTAGTTTTTGGCCCTTAGGGACATGCGAGGTCTGTTGAAAAAGTATCCATGAATTATAATGTGTTTTTTCTAAAATTATTTATGAATTATTATGAATATATATTTTGTCCCCTTCAAGGTAATCCCCACCAGATATTATACACCTGTGCTAACGTTTTTTCCAATCCTCGAAGTCATCTTTTGTGATCTTGTTCGGCTCCTNAGTGCTCCTAAAGAAGGACTGCCACTCACACAGAACAGCAACCTGTCTATTCCTTCTGATACTTTTTATCGCCTTATTTTTCCGATCGATCACTTTCATCCTGGGTCAACCCTGGGTCTGTTCTATCAGCACATTACTACTACTCCAAACCCATAAACACAACCTTTACTGGTTGGACACGCACCTCTACTTTTTCTTATCCTGAGCTAATCTTCGCATTTCCCTAAAACTAGAACAGCCCACATCCTCAACTATTTACGAACAGTAATCTAAACTAGGTCTACCTCTACCTCTCCTAACTTCCGTTTCTGCCTCTAATATGTCTTTGACTAGACCTTCAGTCCTGAGAAGGTGTCCTACCAAATCTATCTCGCCTATTCCTTATTGACTTCCATAAAGTCCTCTGTTCGCATATTGTTTCTAATACCTTTTCATTTCTAACCTTCTCTATCCACGGCATCCTCATCATTCGCTTGTAACACCATATTTCGAACGCTTCTAGTCTTTACTTTTCCGGCGCGCCCACTGTTTCGCAGCTGTAGAGTGTTGTGCTCCAAACATTTCTATAGTAACCGTTCGCGAGTATAGAAGTAACTTCTTTTTACTAAAGGCGACTCAACTCTGCGCTATCCTCTGCTTTATATCCCTTCTACTCCTTCCGTCCTAACTTATCTCACTTCCTAGACACCGAAAATCAGCCACTTCTTCTAATTTTTCGTCCCCTATCTTTATATTCGCTCTTTTCCTACTTTTTCTTCCCTTGCATACCAGTATTTTTGTTTTACTTTTATTTATTTCCATATAATACAGTTTTGTCAATAACTATTCCATTTTATTTAAATCTATCTCTAACTCCTCCTTGCTAGATGCTAACACTGCTATATTATCTGCTAATTTAAGCATACTAATCTTTTTCTCCCTGTATATCTATCCCTACTGTTGTACTGTCTTTAATGATGTTGATGGCGTCTTCGATGTATAGATTAAAAAATAGCAGTGACAGTGTACATCCCTGTCTGACTCCCTTCCTAATTTGCTTCTCACTTATCTCATTGTAATGTCAACAATAACAACTTGTACTAAAGGTCCGTTATATGATACGTCATACTTGTGTCACCATGTCAGGGTTCGATCCTGTCGTAAGAACTGAAATTTAGATTAAGACGACAACTAAAATTGTGTCGCAATGATGTGTGAGTGAATTCCAATTGATTTTTGGAAACCTTTCTGTGTATTGTTTACCAAGTGACTCCTTAATAGGTACCCATTGTGTAGCCACGAACCACCACTGGCATTGCAATGTTTTTCATAAAGTGTAATTACTGTCTGTAACTGTAACGATTTTCCAACTTGTCCAATAACCATGAAGAATTACATAAAATATTATTATTTTTAAATGAATTACCTACCATACCTACATTTACCTACTGCATTGTTTAACGTTGAAGTGTGTAAAGCAATAAGTATCTATTTATATTCAAAATGCAGGAATATTTCTTCAAGCGAATTGGAAAATTATTAACAATCGGTCGTTTATTGGGTTTAACATTCTTTCATGTCGTACAAAATAAAGTAGTTTCATCAAAATCAGATTACGTACTATTTTTGCCAGGATTTGTTATAATCTACTCAGTATACCTGACTCTAACAGTGCCCTACATGAAGTATAACTTCCAGGTTAATGACCAACAAGATTTTATGTTAAGTGAGACAATATTGCACGTTTTTTGTCAAATATCGAGATTGTTGTTAATGATTCAGTCTTTCATACATCGAAAGGAGATCATTGAAATTTTGGAAAAAATTGTTAAAACAGATAAAGTGCTGATCACAAAGAAGAACAACAGTAAATATACTACAATTATGGTTTTAATTGTGTTTGTTCTAAATGCCTCAGTATGGCTTGTTCATTGTTATACTATCGATTTTTTATTGCCGGTAATATACTGGTGTACATTTGTTGGTAAAATTATGGAAATGAGCAATGGAATTTTTATGGTGCTTAACTTCGAAATCAATAAGCAACTGAAATTGCAATTAGAAACAATCAATTATGAGTTAGAAGGGTGCATTAAAAATTCCTTTATAATTACTGAAAACCGCGACATAGAAGATTCAAACGAAGAAAATTTAAATGAACTCGTTCAAATGAATTTGACACGTATCAAGCAACAGATACATTTACGTTGGACTGTAATTCAGAACAGCTGCCGACTTTGGCAAGCCTTTGAAATTGGAATCTCTGGAAATATATTTTTTACAACTTGCTCTTTAACTATCGTAACTGATTACTTTCTATATCTATGTATATTTGAAATGTCTCTCTTAATATTGGTGTCTCATTTTCTTGTTGCAATAAGTGAGGCATTAAAAGATGTAGTTGTAATAATAGTTACAGTTTACACGTGGAAGATGGTGGAACAAGAGGTAGATATATATTTTTTTTCTTTGCATTCTTTTTTATGTAGTTTTAGACAGCAAATAAACGCTAAAACGCTAACGTTAAGACAGCAGGTAAAAGTAGGCAAGTAGATATCCATATATTTAAATGGACCTTGTTGGAGCATGGGTAATCCTAAAATGTAGCATCGTACTACAGATGGCTTTTACCGCGCCATTTGTAGTATTTTCTAAAACGCGCTGTTAAGACAGCAGGTAAAATTTGGTCTGTGTTCTGTCGGAGCTGCCTGCGACACGCTGATGAGATCCAAAAAGATCGAAATCGCGATCCGCGTCTGGCAGTTTCGACAGAATACAGACCACTTCGAATTATTTTATTCGATCATGTAGAATGTTACACATACAAACTATTTGTGTGTACCCGATTCGTCACTTTGTAAGTCATAAGGTTATGGAATTGATATAAATTCATATGTTGTGATTCCTTGAATCAATTCCATAAAAAAGTAAAACATCGGGGGCACGATTGATGAGTTCGCCGCATTATAATTTTTATGTTTACTTTAACGATCATTTAATTGTAAACCTCAAATACTTAGGATCATTTCCCTCTTACAGGCAAACAAAACAGGATCTTTGATTCATCGGTTTTCAACTGAGGCTGCTGATAATGTCTCTTGCAAAGACTCCGTGGAATTTTTAAAATTGGTATCAATCAATAATATTCATACAAAACCAACGTTTAAGATTCGTAATATTTTACTGTTAGATTGGGGCATTCTTTCCACAGTAATTAGTGTTTATACTTTTAATTACTTGTAGATAAACTGCAGTTGTTTTTAGATAATTGGTGCAGTCATCACGTATGCCACTTTTCTTCTGCAATTTCAGATTACAGAACTGGAAAGATATTATTTGCTTCATGGAACGGAGTATACTGTAGGCTATTAATAATGTAAGCAGCTTTTGATAGAATAAGAAACGAATGTTTTCTATGTATACGCTGATAGAATTAGCGTAATGTTTATCTCTATAGTGATTTGCACTTTAGACAAAATAAATTCTAACAGTAACATTTTAGATTCAAACCTTTTACTCTCTGAATATTCATATTCCTTTAGTAGCCAACTGTAAACAATAACGATTTTTGCAGTATTGTTTCAATTAATTATCTGTCAAGAGTTATCTGATCTATGCTAGGTTGAAGAGAATCAAACTACTTGAAATCACGATCCACCTCTACCTGTTCCGATAGATTTAAAGACGGGCTGTAATTCCAAAACCTGCGATTTTGTCCCAGTGACAGAAAGCGTCACTGTTACTCACAGGGTGTAAGAGTTCTAAGGAATCTGGAGTGGGAGCGACACAGAATATATGACATCAATTTTGTTCATGTTGATGCCTCCGCTCAGATCAGAGATCAGGCCATTCATACAGTCAACGGAATGGAACTCTCAGTGTGATAGAACAGAAACTGCAGTTTTGCCGGAACAGACAGAGATGGAAACTGTGACTAAAAAATCACTGTTAATTCCATCTCTAGACAGAGTATTGTACTTAATTTTGTTTCAGTTCCTGACTAAGCATGCGCATATACCCAACTTGGAACGATTGGTAGTTAAAAATTGGATTTACGCATAACTCTTCACACGCTTCATCTGTGCTATTTGATTGTATATCACATGAGATTTTCTTATTACCTTGTTGAGATACTCTTTACCGTTTAACGTTTCTGTTTTGGCAGTGGTCAGATTTTTCCTTGTGAATCTATTTAGTATTTAATGTAATCGTCGAGTCGCAACTGATTTAATTGCATTAATAACACATGTTAACTGTTTGTTACTGTAACGGCTTTTTAATTTATTAAATAAATATAATTTCTTACAAAATCATTGATTTCAAATTGGAAAACTAATTGATGTACAATGAGTTTTGACGTTAAGCAATACACAATAAAATTTATTTCTAAGATTAAAAATTAAAAGGAATTTCTAAGATGTTGAAAATTGAAAGAGGAGACTGTGGTAAATATTAATT